AAAAAAAAAAAAGAAATGGAAAACAATTTGAGGCAATTATTAATGTGACAATGAGTCAGGTCCATAGGAGTTGAAATGTCAGGGACCACATCAGAGAGGCATGGTATAAAAGAAATTGTTTCCTTCTTAAAAGTCACGCAGAAAACCCCGACGATTTTACCATAAAAATAGTAATCTTCAGACACGGACGGTGGTCGATCGTGTCCCACCTTGGTGTCGTTTCCCTTTAGGGATTCCTTCAGTAGCACTGCTGCTCCTGATGGCTGAAGCAGACTTGTCTTCCTCCCGTTCTCAAACTCCAATAGAAGGGTGGACAAGCTTTCCCCGCCTTGGGTATTTCAACGTAGCTCCAGTAGGACTTACAAAAGAACTGGCTAAATACCAGGAACGACAGGGACACAAGATGGAAATGTAAAAAGTTGCAGCTTCCAAACCAGCCTGTGACCCCGCCAGAGCTGATCTACTCCCTGGGAAGACCTGGCCCAATTAAACATCACGTGACACACCTCTACTCTGAAGCGCCTGTTGAAAGTTTTAGGAACGTCCTGGTTCCTTGTTTTTTGACTCTCGGTTGGCTGCTAAACAAAGGAAACTGTTTACAACCTGTAAGATTGGAAATGATCTCCTCGGGTCCTTGAGGGTAGCAAACTAGGATCTTTATGGAGTTCTGTTTCCTGGTCTGAGGACACATTCCCCCCCCCCCCCCCCCCCCCCCAGGTGATTCACAAAAGTTGTGGTGACCGACAGGATGACTTTTTCTTTCTTTCTTTCTTTCTTTCTTTCTTTCTTTCTTTCTTTCTTCTCTTTCTTTCTCTCTCTCTCTTCCTTTCTTTCTTTCTGCCTTCTTTCTTTCTCTCTCTTTCTTTCTTTCTCTCTCTCTTTCTTTCTCTTTTCCTTTCTTTCTTTCTTTCTTTCTTTCTTTCTTTCTTTTTCCTTCCTTCCTTCCTTCCTTCCTTCCTTCCTTCCTTCCTTCCCTTCTTTCTCTCTCTCTCTTTCTTTCTTTCTCTTTCTTTCTTTCTTTGTCTTTCTTTCTTTCTTTCTTTCTTTCTTTCTTTCTTTCTTTCTTTC